CACTGGCCACTTACCCACTAGCACCAGGGCGCCCTCTGAATCCTGGGGAATCTTTCTCTGTTGAAAGGATGGTGGTGAGGGAAGTGCTTCAGGCATTCTGGACTTGGGAGACAGGAGGATCCCGCTCCCCTCCCCTTCTTACTTTCATTTCTAACCCTGTTCAATCCGAGGGCTTCCCCGCTGTCCCCACACACCCCTGGTACAGCCTCACCTGTTCACAGAAGAGTTTTTCCTCCATCTGGGGACGTTGCGGGAGCAGAGGCTGTGAAGCTTTCCCAGAACGTGTCAGGACCGTGGGCTTCATGCCCCCTGGGGCATCTGTGTCTCTGGCGTGGCTGCAGGACACACAGTGGGCATGGGCTGAGTAGGCTGTTGAGGCTGGGCTCTCGGCAGAGTGGACATGGTGGTGGGAGGAATCAAATGGGACTTCCCAGTGACCAGACTAGAGAGGCCCAGGGGCAGAAGGAGGATCAGCCTCCTCTGAAGGATGAGGTAGATGTAAGTGGATGGCCTCTATCTGGAGTAACTAGTGGAGTCAGGAGAATGGATGAAGAGAAGGGCCTGGAGAGTCTGCCCTCCTGGGGACCAGTATCCCCCAAATAAGAGCCTGGAGACATGGCCACCACTCGAGAGGTGTCAGAGGCAGGATCCATCATGGGAGAAAAGTGGGCCCCAGGCTGGTGGGGGAGGGGCCATCTGGACACTCAGGGAGAGCTTGGGGCAGGTGAATGGGGAGCTGGGCCCTGTGGGTGTGAAGTCCAGGCTCTGGCAGGCAGGGGCACCTGTGTTTAAGGAGCAAGGCCCGAAGCAGGGTCTCTCGGTCCTGACGCTGGATCTGCCCGTCGAAGATAAACCTGTCCAGCAGCTGGCTGACCACCCCAGCCAGGGATTTCTCTGGCAGGTCCAGGAGGACAGTACCTGCAAGCAGTGGAAGGTGAGCTGGACGACTGGGCCTGGCCCTCCTCCTCCCCACCAGGCTTCACACACGGACGTTGCACGCAGAGGGGCCCAGTGGGGCTCACTCACCCTTGGCGAAGGCTTTCTGCAGCTCCAAGAGGCTCCAGAAGGTGAGGTAAGACACGTGTGGGCGGCCCCAGGTTCCATCCTTCCCCCGGTTCTCCTCCATGTGCAGCCAGCGCGCTGCCTCCATCCATTGCAGCTCCTGGTTCTTTTCATCCATCACCAGTTCCCGCAGCTCCACATACACCTGCAGCCCCACAGGCCAGAATTAGTCCATCAGGCCCAGGGCAGGGCTGTGGGGAGACTGGGAGCTCACAGCATGGTGGACCCTCAGTAGGCTCTGAGAGATGTCTGTCAGAGGCCCAGGGTCCAGGAGCACTTGGGACAGACCCTGAGCTCCGAGGGGACTGTCAGGAGCTGCAGCCTGGGGGTGTGGAGTGGGAGATGCTTGAAGGTCTTGTCAGTATGGTCCCAACCTCTGGCTGTTCCCCAATTTCCTGACCAGGCCCCTCACCCCATTTTTAGAAGCGTTTGAAGAAACTCCAGACCAAAAGAGAGGCTAGAGTGGGCACAAAAGGGAAAGGAGAGGCAAGCCTTTGGGGTGACGGGTCAGTCTCTTCCCTCCAAGACTATAGCCTGGGCTCACATGCCCTTGGTCTGCTTGGGACCATGGGGCCAGTCCCACGGGACTAGCTGAGGGCAGACCCAATATCAACCCAGTGAGACAGGCTCGTGCCCAGTGGGGACAGGGGTGGTCTGTGTGGCCTGGGCCCAGGAGAGCTTGTATTTAATTTTGTGCTTCCCCAGGGAGCAACTGATAGCCTAGCCAGGGCCAGGGACCTGGGGTCTCAGACCTCCAGCAGCCAGTTTCTCTCTGTCCATGGAGCTCCACCATCAGTGGAAGCGGGGCCCAGGGCTCACCCCTCAATGGGAGCTGTCCTCCTCTACCTACTTCCCAGGATGCCCGCTCCTTCTCTGCCTGTTTGAGGGGTCTCCCTGGTCCTGAAGCTGTCGGATCCCTCTGCTTCTCCCTTCCCCTGGTAGAATGCTGGGTCCCAAGGGCAGCACAGGAAAGGGAATCCGGGGAGCCTGGGGTGCTCACCTTGTGAGTGTCTCCCTTTCTTGTGCTGTGATAGTCTGTGTCTGTTGGTTCGGTGCGCAGAGCTGAAAACCCCGAGGCTGGTTAGTGCTGTGCCCAGACGAT